TTAAGGGCCTGGTTAGAAATGTTGCCTTAGACTAGGAATAGCTAAGAGCTTGTTATAAAATGATTTGGCCTTAGATTAAGAATAATTTAAGAGCATGGTTGAGATATTGAATATCAAATGACTTGGAATAAATATTGAGAATATCATGAATGTTTGAATCATATACTGTGTGCATGATATCAAATGGTTGATTATGAATTGAGATTCAATTTATTTGGATGTTCGACGCTTTAGATATGCTTACTCAGCTTCATCGCTGAGCGTGTAGTATGTTTTATTTGCTACACGCAGGTAGACAGAATGAGTGAATGGCATGTTCTTGGTAGCGGAAGGGGCGAGACAGTCGTGGTGGATTTATTGAGAAAATAAATGATTATGTTATTATGAATCCTGTTTAAAAATCGCTTCCGCATTAAACACTCCGTATTTACTACAATTATGTTTGGAATTTCATTTATGATGAATAAAGTTATTTGAAATGTTTTAAATTATACGATTACCAAGTTAATACTTTAGTTCGGAAAGGGTTGTAAACCTGGACGGATTAGGGTGTTATAGTATAAATATTTTCATAATTTTTAAAAACGTAAAAGTATTTATTTTGTATTTTTGAAGAAATTGGATCGGTACTATTCACTAGTCCGATTTTTAATTATTTTAAAATGCAAAATTAATATTTTAAATTCTGGAAAAATCATATTCTGGTTCTGGAACTTATTTTTGACTTGAAAAATAAATTTTTATATTTTTGGAAATTCGAAATATATTTTCAAAATATCATTTCGGTTTTCTAGCTATAAAAAAAGCGGTTTTCAAAATTTTAAATTTTATTCATTCTGGAATTTTTGGATTTCCAGATTAATAAAGTTTACTGGGAGTCTCCAATAATTATTTGCTAATTTAGAAAACATATATATATATATATATATATATATATATATATATATATATATATATATATATATATATATGTATATATATATATATATATACGGTAAATATAAAATATTTTATTTTCTGGAATTTAGAAAATCAAATTTCTAACATTCTGGAAATTTAAAGTATTTTATGATTTTTAATTAAATTACTTTCTAGTTTAATTAATTTATTGTTGATAGTTTATTCCGTAGAATAGAATAAACTAGGTCTGGGGCGAGCGCGGTTCGCCCGGTGTATGCTTTAATATGTATGATGTGATGCATGTGATGCTTTTATGTATTATTGCATGGTGGATGATTGTGGCTTAGTTATATTTATTGTAATTTTAAATACGGTCTGCGTGTCGAGCCTCATCTCTATACTCTGGATGTAATTCTTTTATTTTCCTCAAATGTTCTTTTCTCTCAAAAATTATAAGAAGATAAGAAGACGAAGTCCGTTCGTGATAGAGAATCCTAAGGAAGACGTGATGGGCCAGAGATAGAGATCTCTTGATCAAGGCACTGTCGTTTGTTCTTCTTTAGGAGCCACAATCATTTCACATTTACTTATTATGCATGTGATGTATGATTGAATGTATGCATGTATGTGATTTTCGCTAGTGCATGCGCGCGGTGTATGCCATAGGAAAGACTGCGTAATAAATCCCTCATAATTTTAAGTCTGTGCCACCCTGACGCACCGTCACTCGTCAAACCCAATTTAGATCGGTAACGGATTCACCCAAGTGAGACGCCCGGTTTACGTTGGTTAGGCGCGAAACCCGTAACTAGGGTACTAACTCGCCCCGGGTTAGTCTTAACTAAGTCTTGGTCATAAGGATGAGAGACTTAGGGCACTGCGGTAGGATCAATAAATAAAATCAGATCATCCAACCAGAGTTGTAAATTGTTACAATTGGAATTTATTCCTACCAGAAATAATTTAACTGTAGGGCAAGATGCAAAGCACAACTATAGTTAAATGAAATATGGATCTTGCCCAATTAAGAATTTTATTTAAAAGAATCCACCGAACCAAGAGTTGTAATAACGATTGCAATTGGAATGAATTCCTACCTAAATAACTTGACTGTAGGGCAAGATGCAAAGCACAACTATAGTTAAGTAAAATATGGATCTTGGCCCGCTAGGGTATTCTTCAAATAGAGACCCCAAGTCAATAGGTTCCGTATCTGAGGGTAATTGACTTGTTAGAAATAGTGGGAGAGTATTTAATAAAGACCTATTAGATACTTAATTCATGATAATAACTATCTCCGCATGGATGAGAAAGATATGTGCTCGAAAAACCCATTCCTCCTGCCTCTCCCGCTAACGCCCCGAAAGCGGTTAAAGATGCCTACGAGAAACACGTTAAGGATGATAACCAGGTTAGCTGTGTCATGCTGGAAACCATGGTAACCGAGCTGCAAAAACAGCACGAGGACATGAAGGCCCACGAGATGATCGTGGCCTTGCGGCAGCTATACCAGGGGCAATCCAGGCATGAACGTTTTCTTGTGAGTAAGGCTCTCTTTAGTTGCAAGCTCTCTTCAGGGAACTCGGTCGGTCCGCACGTTCTCAAAATGATTGGTTACATAACCAATCTAGAGAAAATCGGGTTCTCCTTGCAGAAGGAGCTGGAAACGGACCTGATCCTGCAGTTGCTCCCTAAGCTGTATAAGGGTTTTGTCATGAACTACATGATGCATGATCTTGACAAACCCCTTCCGGAGCTTCTTAAAATGCTCCAGACTGCAGAGGAGAACCTTACTAAGGGCAAGGGTGTTGAAACACGGGCTTGTCACGTTTTCGTACTAAAGCCGTGTTCGTTTTTGTAACAGGTATTGATAATGCCAAACCGCCGTGATCAAGTCGAACATTGAATATACAAGTCGAAGAACGAAGATAAGAGCAAGAGCTAAACGAAGACCAAGAACGAAGACCTTAATCATAGTATTGAGTCGGTCTTTATTGTGATCAAGGCCGACCCAATCTTTACACCTTGGCTCTTTAGGCTAAAATCTCTCATTGCATGTCTTACATCATAAAAATGTTTTTCAAACTTGTTTAAGTAATTAAAAACACTTGGTGTTCGCCCAAACCAAAAACCAAGCCATCTAGTGTTCGGCTTTTAGAAACCAGCGTTCGGCTTTCGCTTGTCGGGTTGGGTTTTTGGCATCCGAACCAACCAAGTGGTTTTCAGCATTTTATGATCTTCTTTCACTCTTTGGCATGTTTAAACGGTTCTCCAACAAAAACACTTTGAAAACCATCTCTCGTTTTTAGTCGTTTGACAAAAACCACGCAAAACGGCGTAAACTTGGCTAGCCGTGGTTTTTAATCAAATGAAGTGATTTTTAAAGTGTCTTACTTGATTTATTAGCCAAATACATCAAATAAGTGTTTTAAACACTTGGTTTTTATTTTGGAGAACCTTGGATTTTTCGGTCGGTTTTTGCATCGGTTGGCTAGGCCGTGGTTAAGGCAAAAACCACAGGCTTTTGGCTAACCACCCACCCAGCGATGAGAAGAACATCCCATCGATGGGTAAGTAGACCTTAGCCAAACCAACTTCCAGAACCATGCCAAACAGCGATGGGAAGCTCTACCCATCGCTGTTCAAGCCTTGGTCCAACATTATCACAAGGCAGAATGCCCTTACCCAGCGATGGGAAGCTTTACCCATCGATGGGAACCCAGCGATGTGAAGGCTAAACCATCGATGGGAAGGCATGACCGTTGGAAGTCATTTAAGGTTGATTCTTTCCTTGTTTGGAAGTCAACCTCCCACCCAGCGATGGGAAGCTTGTACCCATCGATGGGTAGATAACCGTTGGCTTCAAAAACTGAAGGAAAATTGGCTTACCAGCGATGGGTAAGTTCCAAACATCGATGGAAAGCCAATATCTTGCAGATCCTAAATTTATTCAATCCCTTAAATCAAGCCAATCACCCCTTTAATGCATTGGTCCGTTGGAGCCTATTTTGGCACTATAAAAAGGGGTGTTTGGGTCTGCTTTTCTCATAAATTCACTTCACTTTATTCATATTATCATTGCATCCAAACAACATTATTTTCCATAGCTTTCTAGAGCCAATTTGTGAAGTTTGAGTTGTTCTAGAGCGTATATAGTTTACTCAACATCTACTCTTAAAGAGAGTCTTGTTCTTGAGTGTTCTTAGTGTTGTAAACACGTTTAGGGAAGCTTGTTTCCCTTGGTTGTACAAAGGAAAGGTATTTTCCTTCGGGTTGAAGTCTTGGAGTGCGGTATCTCCGAGCAAGTGTATTGAGGCTCGTGGGACTCGAGTTCTCAGGTTGTAATGGTTTGTTAAGCACCCGTAAGCTTAACGGAAGTAGTGTAGCTCGAGACAGTCTCTCGGGAGGCTGGATTAGCCACAAGTTGTGGTGAACCAGGGTAAATCTTGGTGTGCTCCCTTTACTCCTTTTTATTCCGCTCTTTACTTTATCCCTGCGATTTTTATTCCGCGAAAATTTATAAACATTCTCGTGCCTCACTATTCACCCCCCTCTAGTGAAGGGCACTTATTCTAACAAAGGGTGCTTCCGTCCTTATGGTCCAAGGCGGAAAGGGGAAGCCAAAGAAGGGGATTAAGATTAAGGCTAGGACGGTCGGAAAGCCTAAATCGAAGTCCACTTCATCTGCAACCCAGAAACCCGTAGGAGGAGTTGCAAAGGGCAAATGTCATCACTGTTGTAAGGCAGGCCACTGGAGAAGAAACTGCAAGACATACCTCGCAACTAAGAAGAAGGAAGGTACGACCATTTCTTCTGAGGTGTATGTTATAGAAGTTAACATGTCTATATCTTCATCATGGGTACTAGATACTGGATGTGGGTCTCATATCTGTACTACCATGCAGGGACTGAAGAAGAGTAGACGGTTAGCTCGAGGCAAGATTGAACTCCGAGTCGGAAATGGTGCACCTGTTGCAGCTTTGGAAATCGGAACTTATAGTTTTGTAACACCCGCCTTCCGTGCACCCGGTTCACCCGCGACCCAACGGACCGGTAGGGTTACATGGACAGTCCGAGAACCATCCGTTACGAAAACATTAATAAATATTTAATAAGAAAACGGTTGGGTTTTAATTAGAGGAATAAATGCCAAGGAGTTACTCCCAAAACGTGTGTAATGAAAGTGCAGAGTACTTGCGGAAGTAATTTAATAAGTTCAGTCCAAACTAAATAACGACAGGGTGGGTTCATGCCCAATTGATTAATGAAGTTATTGAAAGTAATTAAGAGTTCGTCCATGCGCCGCCCATCTCCCCATCGTCAACGCTCTCCAGGGTTGGCACCTGCTCCGTCATGTCTACCTGCGTGTAGCAAAAACAACTACACGCTCAGCAAAAGCTGAGGAGTGAATCTAACAAAAGAACATGAAGTGATAACCCATATGACTATACCCATATCAATACCTGTACTTAACGTATGGGACACCACACGTTACTAACTGTTTAGTTTTCACCTGTTAAAGCTGTTTCGAATAACAAGGAACATAATGATGATGATATGACTCGGTTGGGGTACTCACCAAGGTTGGTGCAAACTTAGCAAGACTGGTAAACTTCTGACGATACTCGGGGAGTGTCATGTCTCCCTGTTGCAATTCGACAAATTCCTTACGTCTTTCTTCACTAAAACGTTTTGGAATATATTCTTGTTTGAATGCCCATTAGAAATGTGCCCATGTCCATGGCTTAGGGGTCCCGCACTCTCATCGGTCCTCTTCCACCACTCGTAGGCTTCCTTGCGAAGTAGCTGAGACGCCAGTCAGGGATAGTTGCCAATGGGTACATTAAGATCCTCCAACACTCGAGCAGTCTGCTCGATCCAGTCCCATGCAATTTGGGTTCACCGGTGCAATCCCCAAGGAATAATTCAGCACCGTTATCCCTTAATGTTTTGTAGGTTATCACTCGCGGTGGTGGAGGTGGTTGAAACATTAGTGCGTTGGCTATCTGTTGTAATACATTTGCCAGGAATGTGGGAATCACAAGGTTGGGTTGACCATCAGCGTTCGGGTTACTCCCAACATTTTGTTGATTGACGGGTTCATTTTGGATGGGAGGGGTAAAGCTAGATGCTTCAGTATGAACACTGACGTGTTCATTATTGTTGCCTTGTCCGTGGGCAGATTCTTGACTCATTCTACAATAACAGAAATTCCTTTATTAGGATTCTTTTATTCAGTAGTTGAGTTTAAGACAGGAATTGCAAAGGGTTACAAGAGTTGATACAATCAATGGATTTGAAACAAACAATAAGATAATTTTCTAAGCGTTTGCGTTCGTTTGGTTGGATCGTGCCGAATCTACAGACGGGTCTTCCTTGCCCGACCCACATACACTACTGGCAGAGTCTACGCTGAACGTCTCTTCTGGGTCATCTCGTTCCCATGCAGCCTTGCGGCGCAGATAAATCCTTCGTTTCATTATTCTTGCGAATCGATGTGCACGTTGGTAACGTATCAACGAGTCATAGACATTTCGTTTGTTCTTTCGTCTTTTACCAAGTACGAAAGTGCGACTTGAATCAACACTTGATATCATTTCCGAATTAACAGTTGACATCTATAAAATTTGATACAGTCAATTTCAATACTCATTTTTTTTATTACCTTC